ATTGCGTACTTGCGTTCCAGGCTGTCCGGCGAAAGGAGTCGTGCTAACTGGGCCTCTTGGGAAGATATCATCTCCGTCCCCGTGGTGTACATGTCGAGTTGCGTCTTGGGGAACTCCGTCATGAGGCGGTCTTGGGAAAGCGGAGGCTTGTTATCCTTGATGAGTTCTTTCATTCGGAGGTAGGGTTGCTTCAGTGCCTCCATGTCGAATTGTTCCGGGCCCTGAGGGCCCATGGCCGGCGCGAAGAGGTTGTTCTGCCATGCTTCTTGCAGGGCCGGTGTCCACAGTGAAAAGGACGCCACTTCAATGGGCTTGAGGGCCTTGCGTCGATCCCTGAACTCTGTGTCCAGTGCCTTGTTGGCGGCTGCCGCTCTCTCCTGTGTGGTTTGGGCCGCCACCAAAGCCTCGTAGGAGGAGGTGAGGCCACTTTCTTCATGTTTTCTTTTGAGGTAGGACCTGAACTGCTGGAGGTCAGCGTGGCGGAGCATCTTGGCACTGACCGGATTCTGGGTTTCCTGTGCACCCTGCTGGATGGCAGTCAGTGTATGCAGCTCATCATCCATCGCCACAGTCTCTTGCTGGTGCTGAATTTCCTTCTTCCTCCGCTTGGCCTCCTGTGCCGCTTCCGTAAGCTCTTCTTCTGGGGTGGCCAGCAAGTCCACCTTGAAACGCATCAGTTCAATAGTCTTGGGGTGGAAGATCACAGCAGTTTGAGTAGAGTCTCGATCATCCATAGTGGGGGGGCGTTCGCCATCTGGATGAAAGATATCGTCCTGCCCAAAAGCCACCACGTGCTGCTGCAGTGTCATGCGCTGGGAGGCAGGAACTTGCTCCGAAAAGCTAACCAGCCCCGTATCGGCGCCCGAAGCTGCCGCAGGGGGAGGTCGGCCAAGATCTCCCACTTCCACAAAGCCTGAGGCCTTAGTAACCTTAGTATCTGTGGGGACCCAAGTCGGTCCCGCCTCAGTGAGCCTAAGTTGCCAGGACTGGCCGGCCACCTCAATCACTGACAAAGGTGTCATTGACAGATCAACAGGCTGAGAGCCTTGACAAAGCAAACATTTGGATAACTGACCCCACGGTGCATTGCAATCAGAACAGACTAATTGCGGAGAAGTTCCAGGGTCCTTCTCTTTCAAATTCACCATGGATCCCCCACGCTGAGTGGTGTGCCGGAGTTTCAACATCTGTGTGTGGACAGCCTCGCGCTTCGAAATGTGGTAAACCTCTGCGATCTTGACCACCAAGGATGCCGTCCATGGAGAACTGCGGAAAGCATCCAAAAGGGAACGCAGCTCACCATGCGTAATGTCTCTGAAATACTTGGCAGCCGAGTGAGGCAGGGCCGGAATCAAAGGTGCCCAGCCTTCGATGGTGAAGGTCTCTGTGGTCGGATCCATGTGGAGTGTCAACGTCTCCTTCTCTAAGGCCCGTGATGTCTGGGTCTGAATCTTTGCCTCTGCATGAACGAACCCCGACGGGGGTGGCCCACTTGACGATTCCACACTTGTCTCCAGCTTGGGTTCCAAACCCAAGTTTGCCATCACTTTCTCCATCTCATGGAGCTGCGAAGCCAGAGTCTCCCTGGTGATGGCGGGATCATCTTCAATATCTGTCGTAACCTCGGCCGGCGCAGCCTCGGTCACCTGGGTGGAAAGAACCATGTAATCATCCCCTGCGTCCAATTCCGTCCCAATCAACGAGAAGGAGCCCACGGTGCCAGTCTCGCTAGCCACTGGACTAGAAGCCGCCATGAACAAAACAAAAGGATCGGAGCGTGTTTTTCGAAAGTATTGGATTGCAGGGGGAACAGCTTGAGCCAAAATGGCATAGCCATTTTGGCAACTATATCGTCAACACATTACTTGCTCTCCACAAGTTCCAAGCAAAGAAACAAGTATAAATAAAGGTGTGAATAAGTGTTCAATGGCATTTTTTATTATAGGTATATACATATATATTGTATATTCATTCTTGCGACAGCAAAACCCATACAGCGAATGTATACATGCCCGCATGGCCTGTATTCTTGTATGCGCAATTGTACGTACGCATGCATGCATGTATGTATATACGGGAGACCACCAATTGCAGAGGGGATACACGCATCACAAGCATGGTGTGGCTAAAAAGCATGGTGTGCAGATTTTCCCATCACCCAACCCAATGATTTTGGTGGGAGCACTGCATGTCCTATGAATTGTCCTCCCTCGCCAAGCAAATGGTCAACAGCCTAGGCTCAATACCCTTTCCACAAGTCCATCACAATCAAGACTTAATTGCCACCCCTTCTGAACTTGACATGCAAAGCCTGATAGTTTGATAAACTTTGAATCACCCATGTTCCTTTCATGAGAACTGTTTGAAAACCTAGTCGTAATTTGCAGAAAACAAAGTGCACAAGAAAAGACGATAAAAATAGGTCCACCCTACGAAATTCGAAATTGAAACGTTCCAGGATTCGTTCGCTTGGTGGTGGCTGTGATGATGCACAACACGGTTTTTTTGTCTCCATGAAGTTTGATCCACAAAGCCTCAGGAAAAATGGGTACTTTGTTCGACTCAGTAACATCACCAATGTTTGCCATAGGTTTAAAACTTGTGGGAAATAGGTTTAAAACATCACCAATGACATCACCAATGGGTACCTATCAATCCTATGGTCATAGGTTTAAAACCTTCACACGTAAACGTGCCAGTGCTGTTGATTACTCACTGCTTGCAACCCCATGAAAGGGTATATGGCTGTAATGCCCACCAATCCCCAATGTCATCAGGCACTGCTTTCAAGTTTGGTTGAAAATCGCTGGACCTGCTAGGTATGGCCCATCATTGTTGGTAATACTTCCTTTTTCAATGACTGTAGTTATGAACCTTAGTATTTGAAAAACTATAGTTATGAACCTTAGTATTTTCAATGAACTATAGTTATTTTCAATGACTATAGTTATGAACCTTCAGTTTGTCGGTTATACACCCACCATTGGTTGCTTCTCACCACTAACAACTAACAAAAAAAAGTCAAAGTGGCTCGGTCGGAAGGTCAAACTTTGGCACCCAGAAAAATTCGGTCCTCTGCAAATTTCTGTGTTTGTTGAACCCCAAATCTCCAATTCGTTCGGTGGTTTTAATGCCATGCCTTGTTGGTTCAAGTCCGCATTTGGGGGTGAACATATTGATCCAGCAGATGCTTTGGTCCCACCATCTGTGGCCTGAAAGGTACCCCATGGTTTGGAAAATCAGGTTCACCGTGATTGATCAATTCGCCGGATCCTCCTTTCAAGACAACCCCCGAAAGGAAAATCACAGGTCTCCCCCGTTTGTGTATATCTGTACTTATGCATGCATGTATGCATGTATGTATGCATGTATGTATGTATGTACATATATATATATAGAGAGAGAGAGAGTTTATCGATGCCTACACCCCAAGCTTTCCGAGCTGAAAAACTCTCAGCGCATCCTGTCCCACCACATCCCCAGTATGCTTGATTTCTTATTGATACTACCCAGATTATTCTAGCGAGTGGCCCACTTGTTGGTTGATCTCTCGAAAGATCCCATCATACCCCCCATCACCAATCATATCACATCCCCATTGTTGCTTGATACCATCTTCTCTATATCCAAACATATCCAGATTGTGACCCACCTTTATGACTCGGTTGCGTGGAAGATCGTCCCACTTTGTAACTGGTTAATAAGTTTGGGTAATAAGACCCCAATATGTGGACGTATCCCAAAAATAAACTTTATATAAAGGGGTTATAAGTTATATAATAACATGTTGTACCTATGGTCATCAACCAGTTATATTTCAGGGAATTGTTTCTCTACGTCCAACGGCATTTCTAGTGACGTCCCGATGTGAGCTCGTCGCAAATCATTCATCCGTCTAGATAAAATTCATTCCTGGTATCAATGCCACGTATCCCCCACCATAGACCTGTTTCTCCCTAAATATATATATATATATACATAGATACATAGATACATAGATACATAGATACGTAGATACGTAGATACGTAGATACATATATGTATTCATATATACATATATACATATATACATATATACATATATACATATATACATATATACATATATACATAGATACATAGATACATAGATACATACATAGATACATATGTATATATATACATACATGTATATATATATACATACATGTATATATATATACATACATATATACCTATATACATATATACGTATATCATATATACCTATATAAATATATACCTATATACATATATATACATATATACATATATACATATATACATATATATATATACATATATATACATAGATACATAGATACATAGATACATAGATACATAGATACATAGATACATATATACATATGCCTATATACCTATACATATATACATATATATATAGATATATATATTCATACATATATACCTATATACCTATATACATATATACATATATACATATATACCTATATAAATATATACCTATATACATATATACATATATACCTATATACATATATACATATATACCTATATACCTATATACATATATACATATATACATATATACCTATATACATACACAGATTACAGAAGCGCATGCGCCGACAATGCGTAAATCACGTCGATGTGTATGTGTGTGGTGATCTACATCCACCGGGTTCTGCAAAAAAACAGAGATACCCCCAACTTCAATGTTGTGATCGGAAGTGCCGAACATATACATATACATATAAATATAGACCTATATACCTATATTATATACATATATACATTTATATGTATAATATGCCTATATACATATATACCTATATACCTATATACCTATATACAAATATACATATATACATATGTATACATATATATATATACATATATTCATATATATATACATATATACCATATACCCATATAATCTTCCAAGGATCCCCCAAAGCCCAAAGAACTGCTGCTTCAACCACCACTTTTTTGAATGGGGCCTCCAAGGCCCTGCGCACCGCCGATTGCATGTGCGTGCGCAGCACCTGTTGGTCTTGAAACAGGGGATAACCCACTTTGTGGTCGTTTTAAGGTGGCCAAATGATGATAAACCATGGGAAGGTTCCAAAACCATGAGACAGCTTCAAAATAGTGGACTTCACCCCATTCAAATGCAAAACGCACGTCAAATTGTGGAGTTCCCTAATGGACCGAAGGATACTTCGCCGAAGGATTACCACTTTGCAAATCATCGAGCTTTTGTCCGGTCCTCGTTTCACGGAAACACGTGCACTTTCCACAAACAATCAAAGCTCATTTGTCAAAGTTGAGGAGTTGGACCAAATAATCGAAAAAATAATACCAGAATATATCTAGAATCATCTCATCCTGAAGTAGATAGAATATGGACATTTCAAAGATATTCCCACTTTTAGTGGGGATTTCTGGAAATGTCCATATCTACTCCAAGATATATCTATATGCATGTGTATACAGTGTATATATATATAAACATATCTCACCAGGGGAAGGCGCCTGCAGCTCAGAATGCGACAGCTTTGAGGTGGTGTTTTTTTCGCTGCCGCTCTGGGACTTCCTTAGAGGGATCAAAGTGAAGAAAAGTTATGATTGGTTATGATTGGTTAATATTGGTTAACAATGCTTGTTACCCTCTGGTAATTTAACATAGCTATGGAAAATCACCATGTTTAATGGGAAATTCCACTATAAATGGTCATTTTCAATAGCTATGTTAAATTACCAGAGGGTAACAATGCTTGTTAAGTTGTTAATGATGTTTGGTTGATACTGGTTTATCAATGGTTTTGGTTGATAATGGTTGTCAATGATGTGGATTCAACCAAGTAAACATGGGGAAACAACAAAGCATTTTGGAAGGGACGTCCTCATTGGGTCCTTCATGAGATATTGGGGAGGGGGGCTATTTTGCAACAAATCCTAGGGTATAATAACTGTGTTGTGCTTGTTATATGATAACAGTTGGTATAATATGACAAAAAAACAAATATCATATATAATTGGTATAATAAGAACCAATCGGAGGGTATCCTACAATCAAATATGACAATTTCATACACTTTCTCTATTGGTTTGCGCTTGTTTCTACTGGCTGAAAATGCCGTAATTCACAAATATGAAATAAGGTGATTCAAAATTTCCCATGGTAATCAAACGTGGCAATTGAAAATCCTCCGTTTGATTACTCGAGGGTAGCTTACGTATGCAGCGACATGCGGATCCCATAGAGTGTCACTGTGTCGCCTAGTATACTGTAGGGTACAATCCCAGTAGATAATAATCATCTCCATTTTAGATGATTGCCCTCTGGTAAACTAACATAGCTATGGAAAATCACCATTTTTAATGGGAAAATCCACTATAAATGGTCATTTTCAATAGCTATGTTAAATTACCAGAGGGTAAATCAATGTTCAATCCCCATGGACTGATCCTTTTCCCCCGTCAAAATGGTCATTTTTTCTGGCGACGTCCGATCCAACGACAAGAAACTCACCAGCACGCGGGGTCGCGCCATGAGAGGCGTTCGCGCTTTGCAGCCGCATCTCCTCACGAAATTTTCACGTCCGGTTGGAGAAGCCTTCTGGGCCATTATTTATCCGTTAAATATCTGCATATATATATAGAGAGAGAGAGATCCTTTGTTATTATCCATATGTTTGTATAATATAAATGTGTTATAATTATTTATATATATATATATGTATGATATTATATGTATTTATGTGGTAAACCCATGTGGTTAACCCAAAATGGAACCCTCAATCATCGACGCCACTGCGCTGCCTCCAGCTGCTCTTTCTGCCGCTTGATCTGAGTCAAAAGTCATCGACCATGGAATTCCCTTCCCCTCTGATAGATGGGATCTATGGATGTGAATAACCCACTGAAAGCATCCGAAAGCTGGATCATAGTGTTTTAATAGGTTTTAACAGGTTTTAACCCATCCCCATTTCATGAAAGTCATGAAATGTGATGCTGATGTGTTGGTTTCTTAGTTGAAATAACCACTGAGAATCCTGATGAGATGGTTTGAAATCTCCCACCAAAATGCCATCAATTCCAAGTTCGCTTCGGTTACCGGAAATCCCTCTGGGTGATGAAACACAGTGGATATGTTGAAGGGAAATTTTACAGGAAACCCTGCTACGTGATCCAAATAAATCCATCTCTTCAACGGGAAAAAACACAACTGAGACCATCCAATTGAAGAGTTGTTGGGTCGAAAAGCAGCAGGGTGATTGCTGAAGTTGCTGCATCAAGACCTTAGTAACGGTTTTTGTGATTCCTTCCAATGATATAGATGCCATATCATCCAACATGCTTTTTGTGGGGCATATCATCCCACTTTTGATCATGGCACCGGTTGTCACGAGACCAGCCTCACCCTGGGCTGCGTTTAAGGCACTTTGGAGCTCCATCTGGGCGGCTAAGAAAAGAAGACATACGTCTTGGTTTTGCAGTAACATCCAACGACTAGCAGAATCTACATGTGTGTGTGTATATAGACATACGTCTAATCAAATCCGTATATATATATATTATGCGTATGTAAATATATATATATGTGTGTAACCAACAAACATGGAAGCTTTCACCAGAAGAAAGTGACGCGTAATGATCAGTGCATGACCTAAAAAAAGACACGTCGGACAGCCACTATCGCCCGTTAGAATCTAGTCCCAAGCAATATCAAAAATATTGGTCCAATTGGGATAGTTAACCGTTAACCTTCTCAAATAAGGATGGAAAGGACGATTCTGAAACCATTGCTGATTGCTTTTACCGGTTGTTGAGAATACATTGTCAGAGAAAGGGAATCACACATGCCAATGGAAACATCCCCGTTCATAGATGATGTTCCCATTCAAAATTCTCAAAATCGGTGGTTTTTCCCATGACTTTCCAGCGATCGCACCTGTTGATCACTCAGTGCTGACAACTGCAGGGCCTCGCAGCATCAGGAGGATCTTGCTTCGGATGTTGAAGGTGGGTCCCAGGGTATCCCCATTTTGGATGGTTAGTAATCCCCAAAATGCCGAAAAGTGTGCCACCAAGATGCTACTTAACCATGATGTTCTCCAGATATTTCATCGAGGTTTCCAATGTTTCCAATTTTCCCATCTATTTTGGGGTTTCTATCGTACCAGTAGCCAAATGGATGTCAATGACCGGCCGCGCCTGGTTTGCCAAGCCCAATCGGGCGGTGTTGCGTTCCTGCGTCGGGTTCCCAACGTGTCCATAATTTCCAGTGATGGAAGCCAAAATAAGATAGCGTGAGACAGCTGTGGAAGATGTGAAAAATTGGAAGTGACGATTTTGAAGATGGGTTTGGAGGTCGGAAGATCATGCTTAATTGTACATATTTGGACACTCATTGCTGTTTTTTGGCTGTTTCATCTAAGTTCTTCAGCAACATACACCCTCCAGCAACTTCCCAGAGGGACGTTGACAAATCGTTGACGCCGAAGATGGCCGGTCAGAGATACCCCAGCATTTTGTTTAGCTGGTTAGTAATATATATATATATGATTATATATGCATATTCATATATTTATCCTGATTTCTGGCACAAGATAAAAACTGAAAAGTATATATCAAATTGCACTAAAGTACCCTATCCAAGGTTTACCCACTCAAAAAGACAGAAAAGGGACCCTCCTTCAAAATCATCATGTCTATCCAACAAGTTCTCTTGCAACGTCGGACACCCAAATGGAAAAGCTGGACCCTGTCCGGTAGACCAATCTCCTTTGCTGGCTTAGTTTCACCCCATCAACTAATTCGATATATCTACCAACATCCATAAACCCACTAGTTATTGGAGCTATGAGCTATGTTCATCAACTTAGCTCCTATTAAATCACCATTAAACCACCATGAAATCACCATGAAGCCACCTCCTCGATCCGTCGAAGCTCGCCCCTCAGCTGCATCAGTTCGTCCTGGAAAACCCACTGAAATGGGAATTTGACCTGCTGAAACAAGGATTTTACCAGCGAAAATGGACTTTTGCCAGCTAAAGTGATGATTTTTCTAATCCCCAACAAACAAAGACAGCGCAAACCGCCCACTACGAGGGGGAAGTAGTCCTCAACCCCCCCTCTGTTTTACACGATCCATGATAATTGGAGGGAGGGTAACCAGCAAAAATAATGTTGTCATACCAAGTGTTGGATGCAAAACATAAACAGTAAAGAAAAATGTTCGATACCACCAAGAATGCAAAGAAAAGGGGTGTTCAACAAGAATGGCCAACACCGCTAACACCACAAGACATCACATTCCAAGTGCAATATTGCCAGCCACACGAACCAAGTCAATCATATCACCAGGTTCAAGATCCTTCAAGATGAAGACCCATGGATTTTCCAGTCAGTTTGGTTTATAGGGGTGTCTCTATCGATCCTAGAGTAGAGTAGAGAGAGAGAGAGAGATGCTAGAATTGCGCAAATTCCTATTGCAATACATGGCCAATCTTAGATACCCTGCAGACACAGCCGCCCATTCAAGAAAAAAAAATCTCAAACCCAGGCTTACCTGTATTTTCGTCGTGAATACCTCAAATTTGTTGGTCCTGAAATCCCTATGTTTGTTTCTATAACGACCCGTTTCAAACCTTAAAAAAAAGAACCACCGGTCCCGTCCTGTTGGGCTCGCACGATGGTTCCATCTTGAGGCCGATCCTGAAAGGTGGAATGCTTGGCACAATATCATGGTGAACCCCATCATATATTGTGGAGAATCACACAGAGTATGTAATAAACATTATTTAAGTGGCTATGTAATTGATCAAACCCTACTAGTAGTAAGACATCACCAAATTATATAATCATTTCATGGGTTGTATAAACCATCCCCAAATGGTAGGTTTATGATTGGGTTTACCACATTAAATGTTCCATATCTATCTGAATTCACATCCAGCCGGGCATCTGGAATTAGGCATTTGCGGAAATGATTTTGGAGTAGGCCTGCATTTTGGATTTGGTATATAGATTTCTCCACCAAGATTGAGTTTTGATATAATGTGGTTGATAATTGTGGCTTGATTTTGGCAAAGATTCGAGATCAACCAAATGTTGGGTTGAACTGTGCCAAAATGGATTGGATTGCAAAGCATCAACCCGACATCTGGGGTTCTCTCGGTGGCTTATCCCCTCTGGGATTGATCGTACGACTCCCATTCACTTGTGATGACACGCCCACGAAAAGAATCAATTGTGACTTCAATTTTGGGCCAAGTTCCATGTAATTATAGGGAAAACTCCATTTTCATAGGGAAAACTGTGTTTTTTTAGATGTGGGAATGGCCAATGGATTTGGATAATTTTCAGGCAACCATTGGCCATTCCCACATCTAAAAAAACACCGTTTTCCTTATGAAAATGGTCATTCCCAACCTATAGTGAGACCTAAAAAGGCTTCCCTCCCCATCTTTTTCACCAGTTGTTTTTGCTTGTTTTTGGTGGTATACAGAAAAGGCCCCACTGATAGTTGGCTGTGAAAATAGGATATACCAATAAACCCCCAAAACGGTGCTTTGAATGGAGAAAATGATGAAAAACAATGAGAAACCATAGAATTTAGGGGTACTCGATTTTCAGACACACCCGGTTCTTACAGATGAGGCAAAAAATGAACCACTTTTGGTTGCTTTAAGGTGCTGGGAAGATCATCATCTATCCTAGTCATTGCCTGCCCCTTCATGGGCATATAAAACCAATAGTGTGATCGAATCATCAATGTGTGATACATTGGAATTAAGAACCGAACAAAAATGACTTTAACCAGCGTTCTTCGTAGGGTTGCTCCTTGGCTTCAAAATCCCTTCCAAAATGTTGGATCTGCGCACCAAAGGACATCAAAAATATGTTTGCCCATGTTTACAGTAACATTTGTTTCCACCTCCTACCATGGTGGTCTCCATCAACTCTCACATGTGGCAACCACCTGCATCCGCTTCAGCTGCACGTGCGCTTCAGCCAGGGCTTTGGCCTGGCTGTTCCCGAGCACCAAAGCCATGGGTATCAACCACTTCACCCTTCTCAGATTGCATTGGATGTAGTATCCCATTGTAAGGGTGAAGGGTATGTGTAGTATCCCAATGCCATGCATGATATCACCACTTCATCATTGTGTATCCCATTGTATGCCCATGATATCCCCACAAAACGCTTCGTTTGATGCTCAGATCGCTATTGTTGATGGTGAAATCACACCATTTTGCAGTATATATCACCATGAGATCCCCATTCATCAATTATACGTCATCAATCCCCGTTTTTTGTAACTTAGATCAATTATCTTAGAGGGTTCAATCATGAATTCTTCACTTGGATGTGCATGCCACTTAGCAAGTGGTGTATAATCCATATATATATGTATATAAGCCATATAATCCCATATATCAGTGGGGATATTCCATATAAAACTGTCACTAAGTGGGATGCACCCCCAAGCAGCCCACGGAGTCCGGACCTGCGCCACTGCATTTGCACGTTCCTGCGATAGCGCCTGGGCTAAATGGAGGAATTTAACCAACAAATATGACAAAACATGAGGGATTTATATAGACGGATTTACCAAAATGTGGTGGTTTCTTGTGATGTTTTTTCCTGAGAAAACAATTGGTGTTTTTCTTCAGGGAGTTCATGGAATTATGTTCTGGTAATCTAAGATGGCGAATTGTCCACATGTACAAGTGAAGTTCAGTTGCTATTTTTGTTTACGGGTCCTAAGTCACGGCAACCAAGTCTTGGAATCTTCTATGACATCCTTTCGATTGGTTGAAGGGAATATTTATAATAGGATAGCCCCTGTATAGCATGGGAAAATTCACGGTTTCCGGTTCAGACCCTTAGCCCAATCCAATGATCATATCACCATCTCTCCCATATCTCATGTTTCTTCGGCCTCCTCCATCCGCTTCAATTCCACCAGTGAACCTGCATCTCCAGCCTGCTGTGAAAAGAACGGTGTAGCAGACAAAAAATGGCATGTTTAACCATCGAAAAATGCAAGTTGAAACATCAAAATGGTGGGTTTGACCATCAGACATCGCGTTCTAACCATGAAACATGGTCGTTTAACGATCAAATATGCTGTTTTAGCCCTTGAACAGCAAAGGAAGGCGACTAATATATCACATAAAAATGTGTTTTTTTTCACATGAAAATGATGGTAACGGACGTTCGAAATGCGATTTCCGCCGGCCTGGGGAATCTCCTTTGCCTCGGGGCTTTGGGTGGGAAATCACTGGGGTCCCAGCGAAAACGTTTCGGACAGCGTTATGATCACTAGCCACTTGATCTAAATGGAATATCCCCACTGATATATGGGATTATATGGCTTATAATATATATATATATATATGTATACATATGGATTATACACCACTTGATCTAAATGGGATGCACATCCAAGTGACTGGAAAAAGGGAACCTCATGCGTCGAACGGGAAAATTTATATAAATGAACATCAATGAAAATCAGATCTATTTGAAGCCACTACCGAGCTTGAAACATGTTGCCTTGCAATGCGCAGCTTGCCGTTCTGGGAATGTCCGTTTGCAATCTCGGCATCTTAATGGTTGGGGAGGTCACCCAAGCATTCCAAAATGATGGTCTGGGCGTTTGAGCGTTTGAGCCATACCCATGCCCTTACCAGTCAAAGACCGGGAACCACCAGGAACATTCAGAAGGAACCCTGAAACCCTCAGATTCACCCTCTCGATTCATATCATATGTATACAATTATACAATTAGTCCAATATATATGATATCCAATATATATATATGATATGAATAGATTGGATATATATATATACATATATATATATATATATATGTATTCTGATCATATATCATATAATATATATATATATTGGATTAGTCGATAGAATCCCCGTCTATCCAATTGGTACTCAATGTACAACATGCAATTTCACCATCAACATCATCAACCATCAACCAGCCATCATTTACTGTACTAATCATATCTAATTTATTTACAGCTCAAAGTCCCCGGTGTTTGAAAAAGCCCAGCAGGCACAAGCCCACTGCTCACAGTTCTCAAGTTTCGAGTTGCATCATCCATTGTAGATGAATGAACCATAGTAAGCACTTCTATTTTGCATTGTATATAAACCACTCGATTACACCCCTTAAATCCAAGAAAATGAAATCCACAAAAGCTGAAAGATTCTCGAATATCCAAAACAGTCTGTATCATGCAACCCAAACTCCGTAAAAATACAGGGTTCCAGGTGAAACTCCAATACGCATTCCACGATTCCCAACAGCGAGACACTGCCTTCATCTCTTCCCGAACCGCATACAGTTGCGCCTGCAGGTGAATGTCCAAGGAAATCCATGCGCTTCAGCCCTTTTTGGGAAATGATCATTAAATGGTGGCTTCTCCTATAGTCCTATATAATGGAGAACCCAGCATTTAACGGTTGGTTACCCTACACTAAATGGTTGGTTATCCTACATTAAATGGTATATCTATATAAATTTGTTTTAGGATAACCAGAATGGGGAGAATTCACTCACCACCTAGCCAATCTTGCCGACCAGGTTCATGGCACTGGGGTTCGCCAGAGTTACCTCCCTTCTTTGGTTCGCAAATGAACTCCCAAAATCTTGAACACTAACGCAGCTCCTTATCTGTTCTGGGGATCTCTGAAGTTGGTAATCATGATGACCAGTCTAACAATGGATGACCATCAAATACCCGAGGCCAAAAACAACTGCTTCATTTGCAGATTGCGGATGGCAAGGTCGTCCCACCCATTTTCCACCCCTTCCTTGAAGTATTGGTTCTCTTGCTCCTGGGTGTTTCAAGGCAGCCAGCCACAAATCAGCCACAGCATGCTACGAGTGACAAGGTGATGTGACAGGGTTAAGAAATTTTGCCTCAGCAGGGTATATATGTTGAACCTTCTTCCAATCATTGTCATATCTGGCATGATCGCTGAAACATACGGTTTTGTCTGAAATTGTGGTATCCCTGATTCCAATAAATGATCATCGTTTTATATATATATGTGTGTATATAAATGTGTATATATATATATACATAGCTAAATATGTGTGTAAATAAATATATATACTGTATATATATATTGACACTAGCCTAATAGCTGTAACAGCGAGCACGATCTAGAGCACGATTTTTAGCACGAAGGAGAGCACCAAAAAGCACGATCTAGAGCACGGTTTTTGGCACGAGGGAGAGCACCAAAAAGCACGATTTGTGGCACGAAGGAGAGCACCAAAAAGCACGATTTTTAGCACGAGGGAGAACACCAAAAACCACGATTTTGTGCACGAAGGAGAGCATCAAAAAGCACGATCTAGAGCACGATGTTTGGACAAAGGAGAGCAATGCACGAAGGAGAGCACCAAAAAGCATAATCTAGAGCACGGTTTTTGGCACGAGGGAGAGCATCAAAAAGCACAATTTTTGGCACGAGGGAGAGCACCAAAAAGCACGATTTTGTGCACGAGGGAGAGCACCAAAAAGCACGATCTAGAGCACGATTTTTTGCACGAGGGAAGGCACCGAAAAGCACGATTTTGTGCACGAAGGAAAACACTCAAAACAACGTTCGCCCAAAATATAAAGTTTTTTTTTTTGACTGTTACAGCTATTAGGACGGACTCAATATATATATATACACACACACACATGTGAATCAAAGTCCATGTTGAAGGTGTCAATCCCCTCTGAGACACACCATGGCCATGGCCCCCATGGCGGGCTCGGACATCTCCTTCTGTCGCAATTGGAGGTCCATGTACTCAAGCTTCTGGCGCCAGGCCTCAAGGCGAAGTCTGGTTGAGAAGTCCTGTACCGTCTGGGGCGACTATATATATCTAATCAATCAAGATCCATTGATATCCCATCAATATCCCATCCATATCCAGTCGCTATTGATCGCCATATCACCAGATCCAGTTCTAGTTGGAACTCTTGTTTTTTGCACCATACCACCCTTGGTGAATCCTCCAAGTGCAAGTGCAACATGTGGATCGTTGGAATCTAGGCACCCGCGGCTTAAGGCGTAAGGTCGTTGGAAAATTGGGATGAACGAGTTCTGTACCGTCTGGGAAGGTCTGAATATATTTTGCTGGTCTTCCCATGGATATACAGGTGTCCCAGTCCTACATCACTTACCCAAATGGAAGATGATTGAACCGGATTGGCCTATGGCAAAAGCCTCCTTGGCAATAATGATGGGGGACTGTTCCACTGCTCAACTGTTTTTTCCTTGGTTGAATCAAAGCTATAGATGTGAATATACTTTTTATGCACATCACACATATGTGATCATGTGTACATATATTCATGTCCGATATGTATACAAATATATGAATATATATATATACATTGTATATACGTATACATTGTATATACGTATACATTGTATATACGTATACATGTATAGATGTATATGAATCTATTTGTGCAAACATGGATAGATCAGAAGTACATGTCACCGCCGCTGGGTCAGCAGGACGCTCTCCAAGCTCTCCTTCAGCAAGAGCTGCTGCTTCATCTGGGAGCAGTTGCTGCTGGGTGAGTCCCCAATCAGGGGGTGATATACATTGGTATTGTGTATATATATATATACATGTACTAGATAGATAGATAGATAGATAGATACATAGATAGATAGATAGATAGCTAGATAGATAGATAGAGATAGATAGATAGATAGATAGGTAGAGATAGATAGATAGAGATAGATAGATAGAGATAGATAGATAGAGATAGATAGATAGAGATAGATAGATAGAGATAGATAGATAGAGATAGATAGATAGATAGAGATAGATAGATAGATAGAGATAGATAGATAGATAGAGATAGATAGATAGATAGAGATAGATAGATAGATGGATGGATAGATAGATAGATAGATAGAGATGAGATACATTAGATTAGATTAGATTAGATTAGACTAGGTTAGATTAGATTAGATTAGACAAGATTAGATAAGGTTAGATTAGATTAGATTAAATTAGACTAGGTTAGATTAGATTAGATAGATAGATAGATTAGATAGATAGATAAGATAGATAAGATACATAAGATAGATCACATAGATCAGATAGATAAGATAGATAAGATAGATAAGATAGACAAGATAGATAAGATAGATAAGATAGATAAGATAGATAAGATAGATAAGATAAAGATAGATAAGATAGATAAGATAGATAAGATAGATAGATAGATAGATAGATAGATAGGTAGGTAGATAGATAGATAGATAGATAGGAAAAGATAAGATAAGATAAGATAAGATAGATAGATAGGTAGATAGGTAGATAGATAGGTAGATAGGTAGATAGGTAGATAGATAGATAGAGATTGAAAGATAGATAGATAGAGATTGAAAGATAGATAGATAGAGATTGAAAGATAGATAGATAGATAGATAGAGATAGATAGAGATAGATAGAGATAGATAGATAGAGATAGATAGATAGAGATAGATAGATAGAGATAGATAGATAGAGATAGATAGATAGATAGGGATAGATAGATAGATATAGATAGATAGATAGAGATAGATAGATAGATAGATAGAGATGAGATAGATTAGATTAGATTAGACTAGGTTAGATTAGATTAGATTAGATAAGGTTAGATTAGATTAGATAGATAGATAGGTAGATAGATAAGATAGATAAGATAGATAAGATAGATCAGATAGATCAGATAGATCAGATAGATAAGATTGATAAGATAGATAAGAAAGATAAGATTGATAAGATTGATAAGATTGATAAGATAGATAGATAGATACATAGATAGATAGATAGATAGATAGAAACGATAGATAGATAGATAGATAGATAGAGATAGATAGATAGATAGATAGAGATAGATAGATAGATAGATCGATCGATCGATCGATAGATAGATAGATATGTGTGTGTGCATATATATATACATATTCTACATGTATGTATATATATATTTCAACTCTGGTTACTAACCAGTTACTTTGTAGAATGGTCCTTCAAATGACTACGAGATTCCTATACAAATGGTCAAAAACTCTTCAGAACTAATGGAGGTCTCATCAGGTGACCCACCTGCAAGTAGAATCACTCAACCAAAAAATCAGCTCGGAAAACCTCCTGCTAAATCCTATCTTGAAGATCTCCCCGAAAATCTCAATGAGTCATTTTATCCCTCTGTGGATTGTCACCTAACCAATGCTGACGGCCTCTTCAATAAGCTCACCGGAGATGCCTCGGAGCGTTGGGGTAAATACTGTATCTGTCAGCCTCGTGTTATTTCAGCGTTGTGATTATCTAAAATTCTGAATGTTTGGCTGTCAATGTGGTTCTCTACTATGATCATAATGTACACAATGTATACTTATGAAATATAAATATCTATATTTATATATATACATAATTATATAAGATTATAGAAGATGATATAAGATTATATAATGATATAAGATTATATAATGATATAAGATTATATAAGATGATATAAGATTATATAATGATATAAGATTATATAAGATGATATAAGATTATATAATGATATAAGATTATATAAGATGATATAAGATTATATAATGATATAAGATTATATAAGATGATATAAGATGATATAAGATTATATAATGATATAAGATTATATAAGATGATATAAGTATGATCTAAGTTTCAAGCAGCTGACGTAGAGGTGCGCTGCATGCTCTGCTTCAGCTCGAGAATCGATTGGGTGGATGTCCCAGTAAAATTCTCACACATCCTCACCAAATGAGGTTGTATGTGAATGGAGTGAATTTACACACTAATTTTTAAATGCCTGTAAATGCCAATAACTACGACTCATAGCTACTCAAGTCACCCCAAACTGATGGTTTTTCCTCGGATATCTTATTCATGACTGGGTATAGGTGTATACTAGAGTTACTAGAGTTCCATCCATCTTCCCTGTTATGAATGCAAACCAAAAAGATGGGGCTGCCTCGTCCTTTCCATCAACCGACCACTAAAAAAATTGGGACACCGACCCTGTACCAGGTCCATCGCGATCATGTTGTCAAATAGTTTGTTAAATCCCCTTATCATCCCTTATTATCCTCTTGATTTCCCATGATTGTCCCATATTATCCCATACTTGCTTACTGACCTATCAAATCCTATTCCCATCTTACCCTCCAGTAAACTGACATGTATAGATATGGAAAATCCACGCTGAAAGCAGATTATTCCGAAACGGAAACAATCATGGATTTCCATACTTGGTACATGTTCAACCCAACACCTGCGATTTTAATCGTTGGTTTCCATTTATTCCAAGTATTTACCACGAAAAGATAGTCCCATTTATAGCTCAGGCATAACTATGTTAATTTACCGGAAGGGTACCCCATCTTTTCCAATCTTCTCACGCATCCCCAGATTTTCTCGGAACCCCCTTTTCCTTCACTCCGCAATGGCCAAGTTACCATGACTCTCAGGGGAGGTGGGCGACACTGGGTCATGGTGACCAAACTGACCTCCCGCCTGCAGAGATGTCGATTATACCAGCAAACATCTAGAAAAACATGCAAACTGCCACTTAGAGAGCGGAAAAAAATGTGGGTTGAACCCACCCGCTACGGATCTTAAATGACAGGTCCTGGTGTGTTTCTGTCCTGTGTCATACGAGGTCACTTATAGCAATGGGCATCAGCTGTGAGGCTGATCAGATCAACGAATTGGCGGGAAAATCTACGGCTGAAAGCATGGTGAACACGGTGAACACTTCCCCAAAAATGGTTGAGGTTTCCAGTGAAATGTCTTCTCCAATTCTGGGGATTTACACATTTATCGGCTGATGGTTGCTTCGACGCAAAATCAGCGGTCATCAAGGGTTGAAAGCAATCGGCTGTTCAAGCACACGGTGGGTGTCAACAACACGTCGGTGTAGTAGGGAGGTGTTGTGACATTCGTGACTCTTGTTGAAAAGGTACAGCACAAGGCATAAGGTAATAACAATTGTGTTGAAAAGTGATACGACACCTCAAGCGGCACAACGAGAGAAGCGGCCTCATTTCCGTAGATAGTTGTGTCATGTTGTGTCTAAACAAATAAAAATCAGAGCAGCCAACAAGTATGCATCTGGGAATAGAGCTATAGCAAACCAACATGGCTCCCCATCAATAGTCGTACATATGATGTTCCCATGATATGCTACAAAATGTGCGGGTGTGCTTCGTCTCACCTGTGGAAACAATCATAAATCACGATAAACCACAGCACGCCAAGCCTAGCTGTCTCATTTGAAGACTAGTAGGACATCACATTTCTCCATTGATCCATCAACCAACCAATTTTTCAGAAACCTTATCCAGATATATCCAGATCATATACGCATTCTATTGTGGAGAGCAAACTTGGCAGTGGGAGATGTCCCGCATTCCTACCTTTCCAATGGGAGATGTCCCGCCTCCTGGTGCCCGTGGTGCCCGTGGCCATGTCCCCTGGGCAGTTGATGTGCAACAAGGCCTTGGGTTGGGTGGCCTCAAAATCATCCCTGACCCGTGCACAGCTAAAGGACTGGAAAATAGGTGCATCAATTTGAGGGGTAAGAACACGTCGCCAAGAATTAGGGTTTCTGACTGCAGATCCATGGTCTATCTGGGACCCCAGTGGCGTCCCCATCTTTAGACCCTGCGAATTGGTACCACTTAGCTGCAAGGAGGGGGGACCTGGGTTCCATTGCAGATGGACTTCCTGATTTCTCTGAGATAAAAGTGTGGAATGATTCCCCCTACAACCATCATGAGTGTGATGAGGTCCCATTGAGGTGGCACTACCCAGTCTGATCGACGACTCGGCCGACCTCTTCATCTGGTTCTGCATGTCTGTGA